AAAATCAACCAAGATGTAAGAAAACAAATTGGTTACTAAAAACCAAGTGATGCATCTTTGAGGCAGAACCCAGAGTCTGAATAGCAATTGCCAGCTTAAAGGCTCTTAAATGCAATTTTAAAAAGTTTCCTGGGACACAGACTAGTGGGACAAAGGTTAGACTGCAGCTTAGTTTTTCTGTATCTTCTTACTTGGTCCCCATGTTCTAAGTTTTACAAAACATCTGGATGAAATGCCAGGTCTCCAAGAGTCCAGCGATGCCTTCTGGGGGGTGTGCAATTTGGTAGGCTGTGACTCAGTATAGAGAGGCAACGGGAGTGAGAATCCATCACTCACTGTCAGTTTTGAATGTCTTCTTTCTGTGTCACAATTTCCCCGTCAAGTTGAAAAATGCTGGTTTCATTGTTCTTTCACAGGAACTTGTCAAGCCTGGGAAGTGAGAACTGCATCCCACAAAGTCCTTAGGAGGACTCAGAAAAAGGACCTATTCACCTGGGATATACCTTAACAAAGAACTCTTCCTGCTCACAGCTTCTGAGTTTAACTCTCTTAGACGACAGTGATTTTAAAATCCCACCATAAAGTTTTCAGAACCCTTATAAAAAACTAGGAACATAATAAGTAGCTTCAAATATAGCCTGTGCCTGGTATACATGACAGAGAAGAAACAACTGACCCCGGGGAGTCCTGAGGAGCCCTGAATTGAGAAACATCAGTTGCTACATAATTGAGGGAATTGGGACTCTCAGAAAATAATTTACCTTCCTGAGCTCCAAGTGTCTCATCTATAAAACAGGCAGAGGGGTTGGGATTACTTAGTAATTTCTAAGCTTGGCTCACCAGTAGAATAACTTGGGTAGCTTACAGTTGGAAGGATGCCCAAGTTGCCTAGACCAATAAAATAGATGCCCTGGACAAGGGTATTAGTAGTTCCACAGGTTATTCTGAGCCTCCACACTGAGGGCCATTGCAATCCACCCTCATGCATCTTTGGGGCCAAATTTGTATGATATCATTCTGCACTGCCCATGTGGTAACAGGACAAACACTGACCCTGAAGACAGATTGTGCACAGCCCATGTTTTAATAATGGTTTTCCTTCCTTTAACTCCTTTCTTCCAAAGTCTGGAAGATTCTGCCTCATATTATGTCCAGGCTGCTTTGACATTTCCAAGACCCAAGTGGTTCATCTGACACTGTCTTGAAGAGAAAAAGTTAATGCTTTATCTCATTAAAGAAAAAGTGACAAAGTGACTCTTCCCTCGAAATATTTTTGACAGCTTTGTTAAAACTCATTTCAATTTTCGAACGTTCTTGTCAGAAGCAGGGGACTAAACACATTAATTGAATTCACCTATTGTCTTTCAATCTTGGCAAATAATTAAACATGCCTACCTAATCTAAGGATATGGGACCACTCTTGGGGCACAGGGTGAGAAACCTACCTGCCTCTAGTCTTTCTTTCTACTGTTAAATATGTAATAAATGTATATTGTAAATTTGCTGTGTGTGGGCAAATTAACTTTCCTGGCCCTCAGTATGTATAATAATACTATCATAATCATGAGATGAGAACATGTATGAAAATGTATGGTACTGTGCTGGGCACATGGTTAAATGTTTAGGACATTTTAGTTGTTGTATTGCTAACAGTTATTATTTGCTACCGACTATGAGAGAAATTGCAAAAGTCTTTTAATGAATAATGGAAAGGACACACATTCTAATAAAATCATCTGCTGTTTCAGTCAGGACCTCTCAAATTCATGAGAAAGTTCTAGAAGGGGAAAAGTCTCAGGTAAAGGAAAATTGTATATGCAAAGGGATCTTGGCTTTGTCCATCATGAAAGGCACATGCGCCCCACCCACAGCAGCTGTCTCATTGTGAGTTGTTGTCCAGTGAATAAAACAGAGGCCCCCAGGGAACAGCAACCACTTGTGCTCTGCTGGGAGGAGTGGAGGCAGGAGACTGACAGTGTGGAAGTCCAAATGTAAACTTTACAACTGCAGTCTCCTGCAGTGACTGTCACTAAGGCTGCCTTTAAAAAAACTCATGGAGGCCCTCCCTGGTGGCGCAGCGGGTTAAAGCACTGCACTAAGAAGCCAAAGCCACCTCCTCATGAGTTCGATCCCCGCCTGCCCCGGAGGTGACCACATGGTGTGGCAGACCTCTCCTCACCCGCCCGCTGCTCCCCTCAGCAGTGTACTTCGTTGATCTGCCTGTTCTGCTCCCCACTCTGTCTCTGGTGAAGCCTCTCACCGCCCCTGAGCCTCTGACCTGTACCCCAGTTCTGTATGTACAAATAAATCTTTAAAAAAAAAAAAAAAACTCATGGAGTAGTAGATGGACAGCTTATTCAACCTGGTACTCCTTTGGAAATGTTCTAACATATTTTTGGATGGTTCAGAAATAAAGGAAGTGGCTTCACTGCACCATTATGATATATTCGTGATGTATTTAGCACATATTCATATATGTTACATGCTCATAAATATATCGAGCAGTAGCTGTACACCAGGTGATTTTGTATTCCCTTTGATTCTCATAGACATCCCATATGCCCATCATACCTGTGTTATAGAAAAGAAAACTTGAGGCTCTGCTAGACTGACTGACTGGCCCGAGATTTTCTAGCTAGACAATGAGAGAGTGAGGGTTCGGGTCCAATTCAATCTGACTTCAAGATCATGCAGCTTATTGTGACTGATCATCAAGGCGCACTTCTAGCCATCATAAATGGAGTTTTGTGGGAACAGTAACATGGCAAGCACTTGTTAGCTTTGGGAACTAAGTTCCCAATATATTGACTCATTCATACTTTGCCATAGTTCTGTGAAGCAGGTATTATATGCCCATTTTGCAGATGAGGAAACGGAGGCCTTGGGGAATTAAGTAAACCAGACTAAACCGTCTAGCCAGTGACAGGCCAGTTTACACACTGGGAAACATGGCTTCAGATTCTGTGCTCAGTCAGGGGGTGAAAGAATTAGAACTTCTGTAATCAAGTGTCAATTGAAGAAGTGCAAATTGACTTTCTAAAAGAGCCTCCCAAAATGAATGCATCTGAATAGTTGTCCTTCAAAATATTAATTCAAGTCTTTTAAAAAATTTTCAGAATCCGAAACAAATAGTAATGGTAGTAGTAACAATGGCAGTTAAATTTAATTTTATATCTACTATATGCCCAACATCGTGCCACATGCTTTAATATGCCACGTTCATGAAAGCTACTGCCGCTGGTATTACTATTACTAAACAACATGATTACTAAACCTCAGATAATTTAAGTAATTTTTCCCAAGTCACACAGCAAAGCTAATGGTTTTGGAGTAAAGAGCTTCTCTGCATAGATAATCTACACTCTCCACTGTCAAACTAGAACTCCATTCTTCAAAAAATATTAGTGGGAGAAAACTTGATCTTCTGAGAATAGTTTCTATTTTTAAAAACTGGCAGAAGTCATTTGTGACCAAGTCTTAAACTATTTGAATTTCGGGTATCTGAACTTAATTTTGATCAAAAACATAAGATGAGAATGTAGACTCTTTTCCTTGTAATCTATAAATTCCTGAAATGGGTCTTCCAGACACTTTTTGGACACTGGTGACATCATGGCAGTTAAGAGTCCCCTGGGGGATGACTTTAGAGGGATCCTCTGACTTCTGAGTAAATTCATGCTCCATATCCACCAGCTGAGGCCTGTCAACAATGGAAATGATGACCCAGCGCCTGAAGCACTTTTCTTACAGGGAGCAGATGCATGACTTTTAATTAATGCACAGGTTTCAGAGCAACCTTGTGTCTGAGAATAATCCCATACTGTGAATTAGGAATATGCTGAGTTGGGGACCCTTAATCTTGTGTAGATTAATACACCTCTAAGTGCAAGAGAAAGCTACCTAGTCTCAAATTGGCCATATTCCCTGAGCCTGTTGGCAGTTAGAGTTATACATACCATCTTCTTTCCAATATGTAGCTCAAAATTGGTTTTAATATATAGCTCAGAGATAATTTTCTTAGGAAAGAAGGGTGAGACTAGCTCACTCAGCCATTCTATAAAATAACTGCTGTGAGGGAAGGGGGAGAAAGAGAAGGGGGCAGAAAAAGGAGAGAGGTGGCTGCATGGCACATTTTTAGACTGTAACTGGTGAGAAGTGACTTCACTTGCATTTTGCAATGTGCTTCTCTAAGCAAAATTTCCTCTCCAAACTCAGGAAACTCTGTGGCATGCCTGAGAATAGCCACCTCCAGCTGCTCCACCCTCAACTAACTCACCCTTTTAACAGTTAGAAGTGAGCTGGTTGGAATACAGCATTGCTAGAATTTCCATAAACACATGGTATGCTTTTTTCCTGGAAAAAAAATCTGTCAGCCGAATATGGAGAGGTCCATGATGAAAGCTGAAATTTAGAAGCTATAATACTTCAAAGTAAAATTTGTCTATTTCCTCAAGTCTCCTTTCCCAAAAAATGCTTTTCATATGGAGCCCTATATTTACAACATTATTGAACACAGCTTCTTGGAGAAAAAGCACTCAGTGGGGATGCCAAGATCTCTGTTAGAACAGCAAAGGAAATAGTCTGGGAGGAACATTTCTACCTTGAATTGAGAAAAATGCTATTTTCTGACAGAACAGAAAAGAGTGCTAAATGTATTTTTTTTTAAACAATGGAGTTAACAAAATCTATCTTAATGGATCAGTCCCAAAATTAATACAATAATCAGCAGATAACCACCAAAGCTATTTGTTGTTATTAGTAACAGTAGTCACACTGTCCGATCTCATACTAATTGTTTGAACCATCTGAGGAGGAAGGTTTTCTCGCTTGCATTTGATAGGGGACACACAGAGACACACACACAGGTGCCAAATAATTCAAGCAAGTCACCAGGGAAGCAGATGTGGGGTGGTGTTAGCCTGCAGCTCGTCACCACTGCTCTGCAGGACTTGGCGCTAGCACCCAAGAAAGAAGCGACCAGAGAAAGGCTCTTTGATTACCATGGCTTTGTTGGAATGGCCGCCTCCTTGGAACTCGATGGTCCCAAAAGCATCTGTGGGGCTGAGCTGAGTGTGCTTGCTGATGGACCACTTCTCAGACTGGATGTCATTTCGGGATAGGCGGCTCTCATTTTTCTCATTCTGAAGAACGGAGATACTGGGAGTGAGGCCGACATGCTGGCCTATGAGACGCCCACAGCAACACCTATAACGTGAGATTTGAAGTGAACCTTGTGTTAACTGTTGGCAGATGCACATCCACGGCCACCCATCCACCATCCACATGCCCTCATGACCTAGTTAGTCAGTTCTCAGGGATTCTACAATGTGTTTGTATCAGGCAAACAGTTCAGCACTCGCCAGACAAGCCTATCTCTTCCTTTCTACCTTCCTCATTTTCTGTGACCAACTCAGGATGCCGAGTGCCTCCTGCCCCATCCTACTTTCTCCTTCAGCTCCCGCCATATTGTCCAGTAACCCATGAACAAAGCCCTCTAGAGCTTTCTATTTCTTCCCCCTCCCATCTATCAAATCTTGCATAACCCATCTATCAAATCTTGCACGGTGAATTGAACAGCTGAAAGGGGAGAATTCTTACACGCACATTTAAATCAGGAGTCTCATTCCTATGTGATGTGACACACAACCCAACTTGTCTTTTCCCAATTTACATTCATTGTCAGCTAACCAATTCTAAGAATAAAAATCTGCAGGCTTAAGTGTTCTTGAGGAAACAATGAAAATCATTATTCATGAGATAATCTGGAAAATTAAAATTCACTCCTGATGTCAAGAAAATGTCCTTCATACTTTACTATTGTTACTAATAAGACTGATCCATAGTAATCATTCATTAAATACAACAATGCAGTATCCATTTGAAGGATTTAAATAGTGTAGATCTGAAGGTCAGATAATTGGCTCTAGGTTACACAGCCAGTCTCTATGACTCCACAGTTTATATATTAAACTGCATTATGTTGCCTTTTCATAAAGGCATTTCCAGACACTCATATCCTGTTGATCTTAATTAGAATACTACAAATGTGGTTGGATAGGAACTGAAGTTCTTCAATTTCATTAATAATCTGTTAATCTGTTAGGAGTTTTATTTAAAGATCTCCTTTTCCATGAGAGTACAGCATGTGGGTACAAAGTAAGCATTTTGATGAAATGGGAAAACCGATAACCATACATAAAAATACATATTACCCATTTTTATAGGGAATGATTAATTCCTTCCCTAATGGCATATCTATTACTCTGTACTGGCTCTTAGAGAATTAAAGGTACATGGTGCATGTTACATGTTGCATACACACCAGATAGTACAAAGATGTCCAGCAATTATAAAAAAGTGATCTTTAATTGACATCGGTCCTCTTGCAAAGGATAGTGTTTACCGTAGTCATTTTACACCTGTAATTGCTACTTTATGTCCTGGGTACATTATAGAGACAGCAAGATTACCTATGGGGGTCTTTGGTGCTGGGTATGATGTGCACACATTCTCTTTTATAAAATGCTCTTTCTATCCAGGATTTCTGAGCCTGAAAAAAAAAAACAGTGAAATAACCTTTTAAGTATTTTTGACTAGAAAGCAAATTTTCATAATCACATAATGGACTGATATCTTAGAAACTATAGTTACTTCAAACATAAATATTGCATATAATAAAATTTATCCCTCCCAAATTGGGTTATTTAACATCCTAGTATTGAAAGTTAAAGGAAATGATCATAACATAAAACTGCTAGTGATGGAGTCATGTAAATTCATAGTGATTTAGAATGCTAGAAAGATTGCTATTTACAAGGAAAAGGAAAGACAGAGAACAATGTTTATAATCTTACAGATAATAGACATTCAGTGGTGGGATGAAATAGATCAAAATATAGTTTTTAATGAATGACACTTCTATTAGATTTTTCTGGGAGAAGGAAGACAAATGGTGAGGGAATTAGAAACTCAAAAGTCCTAATCCATCACTATACTTCTAAAATCCAAATTAGCAGTACTTAAATAGAGGGGGAAAAGAGGAAATGGAAACATAATGAAGGTGAATCTTCAGCACACTGCAGAGTTTCACAAGTACTGATCTTGGAGGAAAATTACCACTTTTTAAAATACATCACACATACTTCTAAGCAATGTAAATTCAGTTTCTTAGACTGGGCATTGTTGCAAATATCCATCCAGAAGACCTGCCTCTGAGATTGGGTCCACAGAAAGGAAAGGGCCGTTTTAAAAACCAAACCATCTTTTTCCAAGGCAGTGTCCATCCTGTACCCTTTTAGTCTGTTCTGTACCCACATTTGAAGTAGGGAGGGGCATTCCATGAAATCTAGTAAGCTTCTCAGAGAATTCTTTCTCAAAGCATTAAGACAAGCCGCAATGTTATTTCTATGTGGAACCATCTTCTAACATGGCATCAGTACATGTCTTTGACCAAGATACTACCTTGGCCTATTCCACGGACCAGCATTAACTGTTACAAGTCCCCATTTGCTAGTGGTAACTGTAATTGACGCTGTCTCTGCCAAGACAGGTATCTGTCCAGATATGTGGCTGGCCTCTAAACCCTTCATCTCATACTTTCTTCCTCTCAGGATGGAAGAACCATGCAGGTGTGTGGTACAGAGGTATTGCTGTCCAATACTCATGACAACACACATTTTTTTAAATGAAATTTATTAAATTTACTTATCTATTTTCTTACATCGTTGTTCCTTTGTGGACATTAGTGGACTTCTCCCATCATATATAGCCCCTAAAGCCCCTAGTAGTTCTCCCATCATTATAGCACCTGTGATCCATCTCCACAGTCCCTTGTGCTCTTCCCTCTTTTGTTTTGATCTCTCTTCCTCCCTTCCCCTGCTGTATTCCTCATATCCATGATCATTTTGCAAGTTTTATCTTTTTTTCCTGACCCTTTGTTTTGTTCCTCTATATTCTACATGTAAGTGAAATCATGCAGTATTCATCTTTTTCCTTCTGATTTATTTTGCTTAGCATAATCCCCTCTAGTTTCATCCCTGTTGTCACAAATGGCGTGAATTTCTTTTTTGATCGCTGAGTAGTATTCCACCCATCTGTTCTGGGGAATTTAGGTTGTTTCCATGTCTTGGCTATTGCAAATAGTGCTGCCATACACACAGAAGTGCCATTCTCTTTCTGAATTAGTGTTTCTGTAAATGCACATTTTAAAAGTGGCCACATGAGGGAGGCTGGAGAGCTATGAAGGAGCTGGGTCCTGCATCCATGGTCACTATTGGGCTGCATAATTTCCGAGTGCTTGTGCCTTGTCTGCGTGAGAAGGAGCACATACCCTGCCTCTGAGATTCTTGAGTGCAGGTGACCGAGTGCATAAGCCACAGAAGTAACGTGCAGTTCTGTTTGTCAGCTAGACATGAGAAAGGCCCCAGTGTCTATGATCAAAGCGTTTTCTACTCAAATATATAGGAGAGGCTAGTGGCTACATCTTTGTAACAGAAATGAGCTTAGTAGCACAGATAACCAGCCCTTATCTTTGTAAAAGACCTGTGAGTTAAACTATTCATATGCTATGATTTCCTCTAGACACTGAATTCTTTCATTGATAACATCTCTTGGCACAAAGCTGGTAAAAATATTCCTTACTGGACATTTGAAACTAACTTTCCCTATACCTTGGGGAGCATAAGAGTGAGAGGCACTTTCCTTTTCTTTTTTGTGGCCCACTTTGGCTCACATTCAGAAGGCTCTTTTGCGGGGAGCATCTGGGAAGTCCAGCGAATGCTGCCTATAGCTGCTGAGAGAAAGCAGGAGTAGTGGTATCGTGCACAGAGACGGAGGTTTGAAGTTAGAGTAAGTGTGTGAGTGGGGGCTGTGCAGTGTGAACAACGTCAAAAAACAGCCTTGATTTTCAATTTTCCTCATCTAGAAAATGGGCACAACAATAGCCACCATCCAGAGTTGTTATCATTCTAATCTGGGTACTAGACTTTCCCTCCAGGATGAGTGACCAGTCCTGGGCTGGTTGGTAACTGGTCTGGCATTAACCCTTCAGATGAAGGCGCAGATGAGAGTGCTGGAAAATTGCTGTGGCAGATTGATCTCATTTTGCTTTTGGGAGGATACATTCTAGAAGTCTGGTTGGGCACTAAGAAGTTATTTAGAAAAGTTATTTAACTTCCCTGAACCTTCTTCTATAGGGACAATCAGAACAACTTTAAAGAGTTGTATCAATCAAAGCAGGTGACTCAAGGAAAACATATGGCACTTAGCAGGGGCCCTCTGGGTGGCAACTGTGCCTCACCTTTATAAAGCGTGCACCCACCAGGGCCCTCCCTGGTGGTGTAGCGGGTTAAAGCACAGCTCTAAGAAGCTAAAGCCACTTCAGCATGAGTTCGATTCCTGCCCACCCTGGAGGTGACCACATGGCGTGGCAGACCTCTCCTGACCCGCCCGCTGCTCCCCTCAGCACTGTACTTCATCAATTTGCCTGTTCTGCTCCCCACTCTGTCTCTGGTGAATCCTCTCACTGCCCCTGCACCTCTGGCCTGTACCCCAGTTCTGTATGCATAAATAAAATCTTAAATTAAAAAAAAAAAAGCTCACCAAGTGCCTGGAAAGTACCTATCTGTATTATAGTTGTGGATCCTCATAGCACACTGTGAGGGAACACTGCTACTATGTACATTTTACCAATGAAGACACTGAAGCAGAGAGATGCAGCAAAGAACTTTTAAAGTCAGAGTTTGCACTTGAGCACCCTGACCCGAGTTCGCACTCTTCTCCACTGCTGAACTGCCTCCTCAATTTAGAAATTGTGATTAAAAGCAGCTGATGTGGGTGTCACCTAGGCATGCCTGGGTGTGCCCTGGTATTTGGACAGCGTCGACTTCCACAGGCAAGTCCCAGGGGATTCAGTCTTGTGTCATTCCCCTCCCATTTCCTCCTGGCAGTCCTCACAAGTGGCAAAATGAACACTTTGTTCTTCTTCTCTTCTTGGGAAAAAGAACTGGGATGGGCCATTAGAAAGGCATCACAATAGCAGAAAAAAGTCCAAGAAGGTGGGGCCACTAGGGTGGCTATAAAAATATATATACAATCCCAGCAGGACTCCTAACTTGAGCCTGGGGGAGACAGTCTAATGCCCGGTGGATTAGACTTCTCCAGGCATCTCACTGTTTCTCTTGCTCATGGATCCCAGTTTACCTGAAGTCTCTGAAAGTTGCAATCAGATGGTGTGTTGTAAGAGTTACTCTCTATCGATGCCAAACTTCTTTGTTAGTCTTTAAGTTCCAAGAATTTGATTTTTATAGTTTAACAACTTAATTTCCTTCTCAAAGATGAGAGGTGACCTCATTGTTATTGAAGGACTTGAAGACAGCTTTTTACATTTTTTTTTTTAGTAGATTAACCATTCCACTGGCTACTGCACAGAAATTAGATGGAAAAAAGAAACAATGTAGTCTTTTCCACCATCCATAGTGAATTGAATTCTCTCTCTTTTTAAAAGAACAGTATAATACAAATAGAAAGTATATAGAAAACATGAATTAGGAATTCTACAAAATATCATAATTTGCTCTTTTGTGGATTTTGCTTTCTTGCACTTTTATTCAGGTCTTCAGTGTGGATAGATATTAGATTTTAAAAATTACTCTCTTGGAGAGGGTATAATGTATAATGTATGATCTTGATTTAACTTGTTCCCTAAGCTAATTCCTTTTTCTTTTGATCAAAGGCTTTGAACCATTCTATGCAAAGTTTTATACTTGCCTTCAACTGCAACTAAACTCGGTCAGAATGGCTATCCTCTTTGTTAGAAAGCATGAAGTAGTCTTGGCATGCCATGTTTGTTGCTGACCCTCTCATTCTGTTCTAATGCAAAACTTCAAGGGAAGTTTTCATGTGTCCTAAAATCTTTTCTTTTAAAAATTGCTTTGGAAGTTTCGTGCACTCTTAGAAAAGTTGGCCTCTACCATTCCTTAGAAAACCACTTCTATACATTGTTTTCCAAAAGTAGAACGGTCACATCACCATGACTGCGTTGGTGCAGGACTATTTCTTCCTTGTCTTTCCGCATTATCAGCCATGTGTGATGTGCAATAGGGAGGTGTTTTTCAAAGGCTAATAATTAAAGGACGTCTCATTCAAAACAAAAATGAGGCCATTCACATTGTAAACAAAATGTAATGTGTAATGATTTTCCCTGAAGAGTCAAGTCAAACGGACAGTCACTAGAGCATCAAGATGATAGAAACAACAAAATAGTTGTAAATAGCACAGTAAAAACTCTGACGCTGAAGTCATTTCATTTAAGCAGGTTTCAACTCCTTTTCCCAAAGGCTCTGCTACAATTCTGAGACCCCAAAATAATTTTTAAGCTTCTCTGCTCACCAGCTCCAGAATCAAGAACTTCTCTGGGTAGGAGTGCTATAAAAGGGCATCTATCATATATGTATTAAATCTGACACCGAAAGTCTTAGAAAGTCCCACCACAACCTACCTTTTAAGCAGACCAACTGAACGAAGAACAACAACCCAGACCAATACTCACCA